TATATATATATGTGATCGATATACCCCAGAGAGACATTGCTGTTAAATTGCAGTACGATATATTATATATATATATATATATATATATATATATATATGTGTTCAAGGTCACTTGGAGTGGTATTTAAACCCTTAATTAGGTTACACCAATCGAGTACTACTGATAATTAATAGATACATGTATTGTAATACCAAAGGACGGGACTTGACTTGTAACGTTGTGTGAATTGAATTCATCCCAAGAAAACAATAATTACCAAACAGCTCCTTTTCCCGCTTAGACCATTTAGGGTTTCATATATCCGTCTGCACAGTACTTTGACCATGCACGGGATTGAGGTAATATTAAGAGTAATTGGCACTTTGCACCCTTAAATTATATGACATTGGCAGTTTCCACTTTTAAATTGAAAAAATGGCAGAATGCACCCTTTAATTATATTTTGCTTGCCACTTTGCACCCCAATTCATTTTTTGGCTAGAAAAGTGACCTGCTACCTGTTGAAGAGGGGTGGATTTGTCTTTCTTTATTTCTCACAAACTTAAATATATTTCATCTTCTCCATTTCACATATCCAAACCCGGCCAAGAACAACTAATGTTCACTGTTCTCTATCAAGAGTTCGAGGATATATACTTTACTCCAATTTTTAATAAATTTATATTTTATTTATTCTAGAATAAATACCTATTCAATAAAAAAAAACATTCAAAATTAATGTTTGTTAATACGTTATATGCAAATAAAGGCCATGCAATATGCAATTTCATAAATTTTCACCACTCCGATAGTATTTTCTATAGATAATAAAACTTATTTTTTCTTGTTCATATGGGCTTAAAAGGAGAATTATGTATATATTATGGTTATTTGTGTAAAAAAAAAAGTGTTAGTTTTATTGTTTTCTTTACATAAATTGGTTAAAACATCAAATACCTTGAGGGTTTTAGTAAAATCCAAGAAACGCATATAAAGATCATGAAGAAGATTTTGAGCTGGACAAGAAAGCACACAGTCTGGTGTGAATGTGTGTGAAAATATTTGCTAATTCCTGCAAAGCGAGCTCCCATTTCCTGCAATTACGGGCATAGCTCTTGCATTTAGTAGACATCTTGGTTCTATATTGCACTCACATATTTTTTCCCAAAATTAAGAGAAACATCAAAATGACAAATGGAATAATCAAAACACAATGTAATTACTATCATAAAAAATCAGTGTTTTATATTTAATATTATGGAGTTGATATTTAACTAAAAAGACAAGAGAAAATCTACAAATGAATATCCTAATGTTTGGCTTATCACCTTGGCACAAAAAGATGATTGAATTAGTTGTTGGATTGATATAATAGACATTAATCTTGTACTTGTCTAAGAAACCATAAATAAAAAAATGAAGTTTGTGAGAATTAAAAGAAAGAAAAAATTGCTGCCCATTTTCAAATCTCATATAACAGATAGCAAGTCGCTTTTCTAGCCAAAAATAAATTAGTGTGCAAAGTGACAAGCAAAATATAATTAAAGGGTGTATTCGGCCATTTTTCTAATTTAAGCGTGCAAAGTTCCAATGACATGTAATTTAAGGGTGCAAAATGCCAATTACCCTAATGTTAATGTAAAATAAAGGGTTAAATACAGTTTACACCCTTAATCTCGTTTGGTTGTCAAAATAAGATTAGTCAGTCAAAATAAGATAATTCTCCATAAAAAATAGGGGAAACGGCAAAGAGAGATATGACAAGAGACTTAAATGCACATTGGTCCATACAAAAAATAGTATTTCAACTAAACTCATCCCCATGTATTTTGTCTAAAATACCCTCCATATCACAATTCCATCAATTATACTCTAATCAATTATAATGCTTGTATATTTTTTGTTTTTGTAAAATATAGTTGATTTTGCATTTTTTGTAACTGTGATTTGTTAGTTTTAGTAGTCGGATTCTTAATCAACTATGCTTCATAGGCTTCCTTACATAGTCGATTAAAAATTTAAAGAATTTCCGTAATCGACTAGGCTTCCTTACATAGTCGATTAATAAAACTGATTCGAAAAAAAAAACGAGAAAAGAATCAAAAAGGCTGATGACATGCGCGTGATGCAACGATGATGTGGGCACATGACGCAATGATGATGTGGCGGGTGGGGGCAAAATTGGAAAAAAATGTGTCTGGAAATGGGTGAGGGATTTTCTCAAATAGAGAAAAATATTTTGGGTCTCTCTCTATTAAAAAAAATAATGTGGGGGCTTTCGCAAAGAGCCACAATTAAATATGTCATTGTGATAAATAGATGAAAGCTAGAAGAACAATTTTGTCATTAACATATCTAATCATAACACAATAATTTTATTGGACCTCTCAAGGTCGAATTAGTTATCACCCAATTATCCATAAGATAAGCCATGACAAAACTATTTTGGCGGGTCCATCCGAAAAATAATAGGACTAACTAAAAGTCAAACTAAACCTTACTATTTAGTTAATCTTGGCTAATCTTGCTAACCAAACGAAGTACACGCTCTGTAACACTTATCATCTTAAGTTATCATTTGTAACACTTACCCCTCTCACAATAAAATTTATTTTTTAAATTATAATACTTTAAAATTTTCTCCTTTACTGAAAGAAATAACTAAAAGAATAATTAAATTATACAACTAAAAATGTCTATTGAAAAATCAAATATGTAAAATTTAAAAATATCATCTTGCATTGGGTACATATCTAATAAATAACATATAATTGTTATTGCACCAGTTAATCGAATATATTCATATCGATTAATTTTAAGATTTCAATACATAATTAATAGTAATTTTAAGTATTTAAACATATTTTAATTCATTAATTTCTTAAAATATATTTTCATTCATTATTATACAGTATATATTACTTTTTAATTCCTTTTCAACAATTTAATTTTAATTACTTTTCAATTATATGGTCCAAAAATATTATATTGTGATCTTTATTATGTTTTACATTTTAAAATAATACGTTGAGAGGGTAGGTGTTACATATAGGTTATACTTCTGGACTGCACAATGTATTTAACCCTAAAATAAAATTCAATTTACATCAAAAATATATGTTTTTAGAATTATTAAAATTTTGGTTTTGAATCACATCAAAAGTAAAAGAGCAAAGTGGATTAATTGCTCACGAGATAGATGGTCCTGAGATTCCTGCAAATAGAACACACGTAAACTAAACCGGGGTTGATCCAGTGGAAACCCCTCTAACGCTCAAGTCAGATATACGAATCGTGGAGATTGTAGAGAGAATGTAAACACTTGGATTATTTTGAATAACATAACGTACATTTAACAAATGAATTAAATCGTTATTTATACATTGTCTTCGACTGTAATATTTACTGTCTCCGACCATAATATTACTGTCTCATGCAATAATATCACTGTTTGGGACAGTTATATTAGTATCATTACTGTTCGGAAAAATAATATTCATAATATTACTGTCCGAAACAGTAATATTATTGTCTGAAACAGTAATATTACTGTATGAGACAGTAATTTAGCAGCCAAGACGGTAATATTAATTAAAATAATTTTTTCTAAGAAAAAAAATTTCAAAAATAAGTCAACGCCGGAGAGCAGCGGTCAACTGCGATTGTCCTGCCGAATTTTTTTTTTCCAAAAAAATAAAAGTTTTCAAAAAAAAGAAGTTAATGCCGGAGAACCGCCCGCCCGGTCAACCCCGGAATCTGGCCGGAAAAAAAAATTTCAAAAAAAATATTATTTTCTAAAAAAAAAAAAATTTCAAAAAATTATTAAAATGGGGTTAATGTGATATGTTTGTTTAAATCTGGGGTCAATGGGTAATATTAAGGAAGTTATAGTACAATTGATGGAATTGATAAAAAAAATTATTATGGAGGGTATTTTAGAGTAAAGACCATGGAGTTTATTTTAAAAATTGTTGTTTTTTTGGACCAATGTGCATTTAAGTCCCTTGTCATGTCATCTTTTTGCCATTTACTCTAATTATTAATCTTTATTAATTGTTACTTAAGTTTTAGTTATAGGGGTTTTTATGTAATTTCACTTATAAGGTAGGTATCGTATTTTTTCATGGGGTTCGTATGAATTATACGTGTCAATTGGTTGATATTCAATCGTTTGGGTCCGAGTAGTACAACCCCTCTCGGACCCTAGACAACCCCATAAAACATGAACTCATTTTTCTATTAAAAGCCCAACTTTTTTTTTGAAAAAAAAAAAAAACAAAACTTGAATTTTAACCGATTTTTTGCCATCAAAGTTTGACCCACCTCCAAGGTGGTTTGACCACCCAAAACCACCTCAATCGGTCTCAGATCGCCTAAAACTATCTCTCAGGTCAAAAACCAAATTTTGAAACCTTTACACCAAAATCGTAAAAGTTTCGAACCCCCTCCGTATCTGAGACGATTAATCGGCCGCCTCGACCGATTTTTAGAAAACAACTTTTTCTTTTTTCAAACTTTTTTTTTTAGAATTTTCTTTTTCTACCGCCGATTTCCATCACCTTTTTTTTTCTCCTTTTCTTTTCTTACTTTTTTTTCCACCGATTTCCAGCATCAACTTAAAAAGGAATTAGGTTTAATTTAATGGACAAACTACTTAAAAATCTATTTCACAACAGTGGATAAAATGAAATGAAAATAACAAAATTGATATGATGCAATTTCAGAAACGTTGCGTATGAAAACTTAAGAAGATTGACCCACCCAACCCAAAGAAGTGATGCATGCGGACACATGTCCAATGCTTAGCTTAGTCACACCATTCCTATGCAGAATCCACATACACGTGGCCTTATAATATTTATGCATGCACCGCCATTCGACCATCTTCATCTCATCCCAACCGCCAAACACTAGTCTCGATCTTCACTCATGTGTTACTGTTTTTATATAGCCTCTCTTCTTAATTCCTCACCGCATAATTTATATAATATACTCTAGAATCTAGATCACACAGCAAAACAGTAAGAAAGAAAAACAAGTGCATTTAGCAAAATCAGTGTTTGTTTGTTTGTTTAAAATTGAAGTTGGAAGAAAAAATGTCTTCGGAGCAAGCGAGGAGAGAGAATCATGTGAGAGATGAGAGGAAGATTGAGGTGGAGAAAGATCGAGTTCCCAAAATGACAACCCATTTCGAATCTCTTGCCGAGAAAACCAAAGGTGACCAAGATACCCTTCCTCATCATCATCATGTCGAGAGGGTCTCTGTACCTGTCCGAGTTGGAGGCGTCCAGTACTCCTCCTCCGTTGAGTCTCATGATGAATCCGACAAAATTGGTCCCCACAAGGAAGACAAACAAGCACCACCTTCGTTGGAGGAGATTTCAAAAATGAGAGGGGCTGCCCAGCAGAACTCACTTGAGGCAATCAGAGCCGCCGAGGACCGCTACAATAAGGCTAAAGATCAAACCACCACCGGCCACGGCCAGGCTCAGGGTGGTGGTGGGATTCAGACTCGGACTCAGACTCAGACCAATAAGGGCGGCGGAGGAGCTTTTATGGAGAAAACCCAACAGCAGCCGCAGGAGGCTAAAGATGTCATTTCATCTCAAGGCCACCAACCAAAAGATGTCACCGCACCAAAGGCTGCTGCTGCTGCTTTGATGGAGAAAACCCAACAGGCCAAAGAGTATGCTGCACACAAGGCCACGGAGGCTAAAGATGTCATTTCGTCTAAGAGTGGAACTGCTATGGAAAAAGCTCAACAAGCGAAGGGTGTTATTGCACCCAAGGCTGCAGCTCTGAAGGACATTGCACTCGAAAAGGGGCAAACTGCCGCTCAATACGCTGCAGAAAAAGCAAAGGCAGCTAAAGACACTGCAGTTGACACTAGTATGGTTGCAGCACAGTATGCAGGGGAGAAGGCGGTGGCGGCAAAGGATGTGACCGTGGAGAGCGGCAAAGGGGCGGCAGGTTATGCTGGGAAAGTGGCTGTGGGTGTGAAGGACCAGGCTGTGGTGGCTGGATGGGGGGCGGCGCATTATACCCTGGAGAAGGTGGCCGAGGCGACAAAGACGGTCGCGGGTGTTACATCGAGTGTTGCAGGGTATACGGGGGAGAAGGCTGTTGTGGCTAAGGATAAGGTTGCTGGTGTGGGGCAGACTGTTGTGGGTTATGCTGGTGATACTATTGCTGCTGTTAAGGATGCTGTTGTCTCCACTGAAGAAAAGGCCGCTGAGTTTACCGCTAGGAAGAAGGCCGACGCTGAGAAAGAACTATCAGAAGAAATCCAAGGTAATTTTCTGTTTTTTCCTAGTCATTTAATTTTGTTTGTGTGTGTATGTGTGTGATTTTTGAAGAATTTTGATTTATGATGCTTTTACATGATGTGAGTTAAGATGAATAGACTGGAGAATTAGTCTTATTTTTCGTTTGAGTATAGATCAGTATCGATCTTCTTTGTGTAGTGTTTTGGGTTGGTATAGTTAAGAAATTGAATTAGTTAGGTTGTTTGTTCATATATTATAGTTATTACTGAATTTGTGGCTGTTGCTAGTTACGAATGGAAGAATGTAGAATAATAGTGATCGTACGGAAATTTGATGCTACAATTGTTTATATATATATATATATATACACACCACATGCTGGGTAATCAATATATGGGGTAGTAAGTGCATGCCATTAATTCGGACATTTCGAGAAGTGATATGATGTTCATTGCAAAATGTGGAGTTATCTTTTGTTTTAAAGATGAGGAATCCATAATCTAAATGTGATGTCCAATTTTTTTTTTAATTTGGTACCTAGGGTGAAGGTGGAGAAGCCTTTCCAGGCAAAGAAGAGCATGGAACACGAGGGAAAACCGAAACTGAGTCGGAGAAAGTCAAGGAGTACTCTCACGGAGGAGGGGGAGAAGAATGGGGACAAAAGATACAACACGAAGAATCAGATGAACAAGAACAACAAGGAGGCGGAGGCGGAGGGGGTGGTGTGTTCCAAGCGATTGGGGAAACTATAGTGGAAATTGGACAGACGACTAAGGATCTTCTTGTTGGACAGTACCCATCTGCTGATGTTATGGAAAAGCCTCGACATGAATCAAAAGGCGATCCACAACCTTATGCTGGTGCTGGTGAAGGCATCTAGACTACGTTTTTTTGAGTAAGCATTTACTTCCAAACTTCGTCTACGGAGTGGACTCCTTTTGTTGAAAAAATAAATAAAGATGTTGGGTGTGTTGTGATGTATGGGTTTGTGTTAATTAATGTCTTGTAAATCGAGTTGCATTTGAGTACATTTTGGTTTTTGTTGAAGAATCTCTTTCACTTGTCAGGGCAATGTGTTTTCTTGGTTCTTTCTTCCGTGACAAAACTTTGCAGTGAAAGTACTAATGAATAATCTGCTGATTTATTTTTCTTCCCGGACAGCACTTCCCAGTGGAAGTACTAATCAATAATCTCCTGATTTATTCGTCTGCGTATTTCTACACTTTTAATAAAGGCGGCAGATGTATGGACGTCTATAAATTTCTTTCTTCAAAACCTCCAAAATAAAAATACTAATTTATATATCAAATTGAAAACATAAAATATCGAAATTAAAAATAGAACCTTTTTCTTTGTGCCGGACTAAGAGCATGTTTGGCTAAACTTATAAGCTCCTAAAAATATCTTATAAGATGTTTAGGAGCTTATAAGTTGTTAAAAGGTGTTTGGTAAAAAAATTGCAAAAGATCTTATTTTTTCCAAAAATAAGCTGTTAAGGAGCTTATAAGATGTTTTTAAAAAAGTACCTCTACCCCACCTTTTTTCTTTAAGATCTTATTTGCTTCTTTACTAAAACACTTAAAATACAAAATTACCCTCAATTACTTTATTATATTACATGAATACTAATAATATTTATATTTTATCAAAACAACGTATTCTTGTAATCATGATTAATAATTAGTTAAATATAATTATCGTAATTATCATAATAATTGTAAAAAAAATTATTCTCTATTTATATTTTATATGTATATAAAAATACACGAATATTCTTATTATCTCCATAATAAATTATATTTCTTTCATCTATAAAAAAAATTATATTTCTTTTACAACTTTTATTTTATATTATTATTATTATTTGAAAAAATAATTTGTAAATATTATAATAATATTTTAGGAACAAAAGTATTTGAGTGAAATAAGTTTAACAATTATACTGGCGTCATGTACTTTTTTGTCATTATAGCAATAAACAGACCTTTTATTTCCAAACACCTGAACAACTTATAAAAACAAAAAGTAACTTATAAGCTACACATCCAAACACCTTAAAAAATAATTTTTAAAATAAGATCTAACAGCTTATCAGCTCCTAAAACATCTTATCAGATGTAGGAGCTTATAAGATGTTTTAAATAAGCTTAGCCAAACGGGCTCTAAATAAATACATAAATTCATAAACCGATTTATTATCACAATTTAGAAATATTATGCTTCTTCTTCACAAACCTACCAAGAACGCAAACCTACCAAGAACGCAGAACACCAAAATAATCAAATACACACTAAAGATTCACAGTAATATCAGAAAATAATGAGATGGTGGGTCATGAGGATGGAGAACTCAATGAAGTATGTTTTGACCGTTTATTTTAGCTTATGGGTCGTTTTATTTTTTTGTTGGCCAAAAAAAAATTGCCGATACCAGAAATTGGTATTTGCAGACCGATTTTTGTAGGGTAACCACACGCCGTCTTTGTAACAAAAATCAGAATACCGATTTGTTTGGACAAATATCGGCGCTGGCATGCTGATTTATAAGAAATATTGTGAATGAGGGCATATTCATCCTCTTTGGTCTTGATATAAAAAAATTAGGTTAATATGTGGTCTTGAACTAAGGAACTCCTTTGTGTGTGTTTGAACAAAGAAAAAACTGGATTTGCTACATCCGATGCCTTAATAAATTATATAACATATCCAACAAATGTTGCGCGGTTTTATCAAAACATATGCATTGCAACTTGATATTGGTTTCCAATGATAAAAATAGCTAGATTACGATGCAAATGGTAAAATCGAAGAACAATCACACTTATTTTGTGTTCACACGATAAAAGAAACAAAAAACAAATTATGGAAAAACCTCGATGATAGATCTCAATCCCAAAACAGGGGTGATCTTATAGTTAGAGAAACCAGCAGAAAAAAAGAGGTTAGCCCACTCTTTCTCAGTTCTTTCTTTGCCAGTTACTTCAATCATCATCAGCATATCAAACAACAGCTGTGTTTCGGTTGCCTTTTGGTTTTCCTTTTGATCATCCACAACTATTTCCACTATTATCACCTTTCCATCAGTTTTGTTATCCCCTGAAGTTATTGCTTCTTTGCATTTCTCTAGTATTTTAATGCACTCCTCATCAGTCCAGTCATGAAATATCCACTGCATTTAATTCATTCAAATTATTAATTATACACAATTGCAACTTGTCACTATAAAATTTAAGGTAATATTCATTTTGCACCACTGTACTATAGTGAAATGTATCATTTACCCCCTATGTATACAAAACATCAAACACCCCCTAGTTTTAAAGGTCAATGGCCAAACTTTTTACGGTGTTAAATTTGAGTGTGCAATGACTCTTTTACGCTGCTTTATGTTTGATGTATTCCCTAATTATTTTAGGCGTATTTTTGGATTGTTGACGATTTTTAGCGTTCGTTCAAATTAAGGTTTTTTGTCGATCTTAGTATTTGATTTCGTGGACTTTCAGTTTTCTTTTTCGGGGGATTTTCTCATTATAATATGCAATTCTTTCATATGATATTATTCCAATTTTACGATTTCTTTTAGATTTCAGTGCTTTTAGTTTTCTTTTTTGTGGGGTTTACATTCATAATCTGCAAAGCTTCAATCTTATTTATTCGACTTTTCAGTTTTTTTTATAAGAAAAATAGCTGAAAATAGTAAAAAAGAATGTCTGAATAGAGTGAAAAAAAAGGACTGAAAAAAGTGAAAAATCCGGTGAACATTTGTCAAAACTAAGCAACCTATATATAAAAATTTATGGGGTATTTTCTTTAAAAAGAAATCAACATTTCTTTGCAATAATCGGTGAAGGGGTTTAACAACGGAATTAGGAAAAAATCTAACGGTAGGAGGTGTTTGATGTTTTCTATACTTGAGAGGTAAATAAGTTTTACCATAAAATTTACATAGACACACATACATACCTTGAAGAAAACAGCATGAGCATGAGGAATGAAGTTGAACATATCTCCACCAACAAAGTTCAAATTATCCGTCCCTTCCAAGCCAGCAATAACATGTGGAAGTTCAAGCACTGTACATTTCAATCCCGGAAAGGCAGAAACAATAGCCTTTGCCGCCGCTCCGGTCCCGCCACCAACATCAACAATCGAATCCAATCCCTCGAAAACTTGTTTGTATTCCCTGATTAATAAACTATTCACAAAACGAGCATCACTAGCCATCCCTTCATTAAACACCTTATTCCACCTCTCTTTATTCCTTGCATACTCGAAAAACCCCATCCCGTATTTAGTCACAAACGGACAACTGATCTCATCATTGCTTTGAAACCATTCACTCACATGATGACATGGCTCTATCAAAATCGGGTCCATCATTGCAAGCGCGAAAGGCGCTATGCTCAACGGCTCGTCTTTCAACAGTAAACGAGATGCAAGCGTTAGTGAATAGCGGGCTTCTTCTTCTTCCTCCTCCTCCACAAAGAACTTCGAGTGCGTCAGAATACGCATGAGACGATAGACGCAACGGGATTTTGATTTGTCGATGGAGAGGGCGTCGACTAATTGATCAAGAGACATTGGTTTGCCATGTTTGTGGATGATATCTGGTATGCCTAATTGGATAGCGCATTTGAGGGACATTGAATTTAAGTAGTTGAAGATGAAGTTCCACACATGAGCTTGAGCATCAAAAAGCTCCTGTGACGATGGATTATTACTTGGCGATGTCATTTTAATTGTTTTTGATCCAAATGTTAATGCAGCACTACTTAATTAGTTTGTTGTTATTATTAGTTATTACACCTATATATTGATTTCATGTGCTATTTTCTATTTTTTATTGGGTGTGTGTTTCGTTGGAGTTCTGACCAATTCTATGTCATTTGGAATTATTGAATTATTACTGAACCAGTTATGACCGATAATAACAATTCTTTGAAGATGCCTCAAATTTGATTGGCTTCAATGGAGTGGAGTCAACACCAAATACAACTTCATATCCAATGTATTTAAATAATCATAATTTTTTCACGTAATCAACGTGATTAAATAATTATACAAAAAGCTTTCAAAAATTTAGTCATAAGCCAACTGCATTTTCTATATTTATTTAAATAATATAGTACCATGAACACATTGCAGGATGTGACATCTAGAAAGAAGCAGTTTCCCACTAAAATAAGAGAGGGTGGGGTTATTTTATTAGTAAAAAAACAATTACTTGTCTACCATTATTTCGCATCTTTTGTTGGAATCTAGGCGGGTCTAAGTGTGTTGTACGTGTCTAGTTAATTATATGGGTTTTTCTTTTATATATATATTGAATTTGGTTTATTTATCGGAGTATAATATTACAAATTGAAGAGTAATTATTACAAATTCAACACAACAAAAGTTGAATTAAAAAAATAAATGTTGGCGCCATATTTCCGACTATTGAAGATCGAGGAAATCCGCCAAGTTTTGGAATTAAAAGATTGGCAAAGATTTGTTTTCCATATTTATTTTGGAATTTATTAGAGTCCTATTCTTATAAACTTCTATTAGGACTTAGATTTATTTCCATGTATTTCATTCTAGTTAGGTATCTTTTGTACTTATCTAGAATAGAAGTAGAAATCAACTAGGATTCTATTACCTAGTTAAATAGATTTCTTGGGGTTCAAGTTAGGTCTTAGGGCTTATTTTCGTGGCTATATAAGCCTCCAAGACATACAAGAACCGTGTGCATTATTTGGGAGAAAAACCTCTTCATAGCATCGAAGTTTTGCCAAGGCGTTCTGCGGAGCAGGACTGTGCCGTCGTTGCACTGTGCCAACATATACAGATTTGCTGTATAGATCTCAAGGGAGATCAGCCGCGTTTTCTGAAGGGAGTTCATGCTTGAAGAAAGTTCAAGGCACGCGGGTGGAGCTGCTGTTGGAAGAAACACGAAGTTCGAGTTGTGTACAAGAACGGCATATTACATAAAGAGGGAGTCTTTAGTGTTTTTAATAAGTCCTATTAATGTACACTGTAAATCTGAACTAGTGAAATCGTGTTTGCAGGTCCACGTGGATGTAGTGTTTTTAATAAGTCCTATTAATGTACACTGTAAATCTGAACTAGTGAAATCGTGTTTGCAGGTCCACGTGGATGTAGGGCACATTTGTGTCTGAACCACATTAATTTCTTGTGTTCATTTATTTGCTTTAAGTAGTTTATAACTGTGTTAACACAAGAATTATAGTTGTAACTGAATACTGTTTCCACAACTTGACTGTTACAACTTAGGTTAATTGATTTCTATAGGCATATAAATCAACAATTGGCATCAAGAGCCTCTCACTAGATAAACATAGTGTGTGATTTGGGAATTTGATTTATTTGCCATTTTCTTCCATAGGTACTATGAATGCTCATATGGAAGGCGGTTCCACGACTCGCCCACCACTGCTTACTGGAACCAATTACTCTTATTGGAAGACCAAGATGAAGATGTTCATCAAGTCAATGGATGAAGATGCATGGCGCACAGTTCTGACTGGCTGGAAACGACCTGTTGCCACAGATGAAAAATGAATTCAAACTGAGAAACATGAAAAAGACTGGAGCAAAACTGAACAGATTGCCGCAAATATGAATTCCAAAGCATTGAATGCCATATTCAATGGAATTGATATCAATCAATTCAAAATCATCTCAGCATGTGAGTGTGCCAAGGAAGCATGGGAAAAACTTCAAACAGCCTATGAGGGGACTATCTCTGTTAGATTATCAAAACTTCAGATGCTTGCTACTCGTTTTGAGGATCTTCGGATGGAGGAAACTGAAACCGTGAGCGATTTCAACTCCAAATTATGCGACATCGCAAATGAAGCCCATGGCCTCGGTGAAACTTACCCTGAAGTAAAACTTGTTCGTAAAGTGCTGAGATCTATGCCAGACCGGTTCGCATATAAGGTCACTGCTATAGAGGAAGCAAGTGATGTGGACTCATTGCGGCTTGAAGATCTGATCGGAAATCTACAGACCTTTGAAAACAAGCTGAACATCAGTAGAATGGATAAAGAGAGAAAAATCGCTTTACAAACTGTGTCTGTTGTGACACCATCCGTGCCCTCAGCTCCCATGACAGCACTCGAAGTCAAGCTAACAAAATCCATGTCTCTAATAGCCAAAAACTTCGGAGAACTCGTGAAAATGAATGGACATCCCAGAAGTCCTACAAACAAGCGAGAAGTTAGGAAGGGGATTCGATGTAGAGAATGTCGTGGCTATGGTCATATTCAATCTGAATGTGCAAACACTCAGAAGAAGCAAGGAAAATCACTTGCTACAACCTGGAGTGACGATAACCTTGAATATGATGATGAAAGTGAAGCAAGTGATGCTGAAACTAGTATTGACTTCTGTGGTACATGCAGGGTTACTGACGTGACACAAGATGTTGTCACATGCACTGAACCACCACACCTCAGGTATGTTACTCGTAATCTCGAGAGTCATAGAAATTTAAACACAATTTTTTTGCCCACAGGAGAAGAAGATTCAGAGGATGATGAAGAATGCTCCATTGAGATGATTCAACAGCAACTGAATGATCTTCTAAAGCAATGTCATGAGGTTAGTGATGAAAACAAGCGTTTGAAGGAGAAAGTAAAGGAACTGGAAGAGGAGAATGAAGCAGTTAAAGTCAACCTGAAGGCCAAAATCGATGAGCTTGAATTGGAAAATGAGGCACTGGAGGTAAAACATGATTTTGCTTTGAAAGATATTGACAATCTAAAAGAATTGTTGAGACATTTGCGAAACAACGATTGCAATAAGACAAGGCAGATCAAGAAAAATCCTCATTCAATGAAAAATGCTGAACCCTGCCTCAACCTGAAGTGTGACAACTCCCCTGTCGCAACAACGTTAGAGGCGTCAGTCAGTAAGTTAAATCGCACTACGATTCTCTTCAAACAGGTTAGATGAAATTTTAAATGCTCATCCCTCGAATCCTGATAAACTTGGTCTTGGCTAT